TAAAGAATAAGTTTTAAAATATAATCTCTTGTCTGCTTTTGATTTAGTTTTCTGTGTGAATTCTATTTCAATAATATCACTATATATCTTGAATTTTCTGTGTGAATTTTCCTGATATAATACTATATCCTGACTTTTCTGTGTGAATTATCCAGATATATTACACTACGTAACTAGAAGATTACATTAAATAATTTAAATTCAAAATTCAAAATTATTTATATATAAATTTTAAATATTCTTTTTATTTTAATATATTAATATAAGATATTAAATTATTTCTATTATATAAATATTTAGTAAAAGTTAAAAAAAATATTAAATATAAATAAAAATATATTATATAAAAAATATATATTATAATAATATATTATATATTATACAAAATTAATATTATTACAAGTAATCTTTATCGTTATTCGTTATTAAAAATAACTTTGCTAAATTCTATTTAAAAATTCTAAGATTTATAATTCAAAAAAATTACAATGTATTAGATTTATTAAATTGCATATTAATAATTTAGTTATAAAATTTTATATTTTATTTAACAAATTATATTTATTTCTATTCAATATATAATTTTTTATTTTTAAGTATTCTAATTTGTAGCAATTACAAAAAATAATTCTAAATAATAGTTTTATTGAAAAAGTCATATTAATGTTATTTATAATCCTTTTGTACATAGTATTTTTTAAATTTATTTCTTACTCCCACGTTAACTTCCAAAAGTACATACTAATACATCGCTTATGCATTTCCCATATGTGTTTGCTTCTGAAATAATGTAGTTGTTCATTGTTTTAAACCCCGAAAGTTGCAAAAAATATTAATATCTTTAAATGGAAAGGCTTTATAAAAAATTTTTCAGGAAAGTAAATAAGGAATATAAAAAGGTAACTATCGTTATTCGATGAAAAGAAAACCCAATCTCATGAGCCAATGTTGTGCAAATATATAAATGGTAAGCAAATAAAGAGACATTGTTTTTGTGCGTTTTATATTGTATTTTGCCATTTAACATTTTTTAAGGTAACGGCAATTTTTATAATGCTTTTTTCAGAGTTCTATCTCTACACTATCTTCTGAGAAAGAGATGCTTGATAATTTTGATAGAATTAGTAAATCTCTATCAAAGAAGCAGTGCTCTAACTAAACATAGGTTGTTTATTATGTGTAAACGTTAGATTCGCAAGATTAGTATTGTTTAAATCGAGATTTATTAAAGAATATTCGATAAAATCGAAACAGACTATCTATTTGATTTAGCTATTTAAAATAACATATAATTATTTTCTGGAAAAACAAAAAAAGACGTCTTTATCCGCTGTAACTCCGATCTATTAGACGATTCAATGAAGAAGATCCAATGATACGCTTAACTGTATCTTTATGTAATGACGGAAGCTCCATTCGCCACTTGTAAACGCCCTCGTCACGAATATTTCCTTGAAAAGTAAACGAGCAACTTAACCCAGGATATTCTTCAATCAAATATTTTTGAATATGACCCCCAAAATTTTGTAGAATTGGTGACCCGTTCTCTTTAAACGGCGCAACTAACGACACCACCGACGACAACTCCGGATACACGGAAAACCGATCGAAATCACACATGGGAAAAATGATCGTGACAGCTGATCGAAAATTTCGTCGCATTTCCTCGATCACTTGTTTCATAGTTAGCGCGAAATTTTCCAATATTTCGGTGGCTTCTTCGGCTGTGAATTTGTTCAGTTCTGAAGGCAGTTCGACTGGGATCTGGAAAAAGTCTAGTTCTTCTTCGAGTTCGCGACGTGTTACACCGCCGTTGTTGTTGTTTTCTTGCCACAAGATTTTTCCGGTTCGGTAGTATTCTAGAATAAATCTGAATGCTAGACCGTTCCGGTCTATGAAATGTTCGTTGCCGTTTGTTGGATGCAACATATCTCGGTTTCTTTCATGAAACATCCTGCCAAGAAACGAGTCTGGGTAACGAGTCAATGTTGATCTATATGTCTCATACTGAAAAATATGAAAATTTTTGTTTATATGCTATGCTCGTAATTATTAAACTTGTAATATCTCAAAATAATTTCATCTCTTACCATTATCCCGCCAACATTTAAAACTATTCTCTCCTTATCAAGGATATTACCATTTGACGGTTTGATACCATTCGACATTTTGTTTAATATTTTTTCAAAATTTAATAAAAGTCTAATATTCCTACAGGAGGCAATCAATATTAATTTGCTCCAAATAGGTCATAAAAATGTGTATGTTACGTATTTAAATATTTGTACTTAGCGCTAAAAATAGAGCAGAAAATTTTGAATATAAAATATTTTTTGACAATCCAAAACTTATATAGGACTTACCCGATGTATACATATAGTTGTGTTCTATTATTAGTAAACTGGATATGAAGAAAAATCTGAAATCACATGATTCAGACCTATGTTCAGGTCGAGGATACCCGTTGATTTTTGAAAAAAATCCATTTTATTCCGAAATTGAATTTTATTTTTATAATATATACGTAAGTGCACAAAAGATTCTTTATAAAGATTTTTGTCTATCATCCAAAATTTTGTTATAAGCACTAAAACTAAATTATATACTACATGATTAAATTAGTAACTAAATATATTTCACAATTGTCAATTAAATTGTCCATTCTTGAAAAGTGCCATAGATACATTATTATTAAGCGTCGAATTTAGCGTTTGTTGAAATAATAATTGTTTTATATTCCCATTTGTTTAAATGACTACAAACCAACATGCATGTACATGTAATAAAATTCCGTTATCATAGCAAAATCTTCAGAAAAATCTTGTACACAATTACATGTATATGCAGTTTTATGTATTCGTTTTTGCTTAGAAGCATTTTTCATAAACGTAACGATAATTTTTGTTCAAATGAATAGATATACATGTATATTTATATAAAAAATTCCGTTTTGTTTCAAAACACCAATCAGAATTTTTCCGTTCTCCGATCACTAATATCGATATGTAACTTATTAATGTTGTTTATTACAACGAGATGAGATTGAACAAACTATAATCAAAGGAAATGTGTCATAAATTCAATTCTTTAAATATTTCCCACAAATTATTAGTTGTCAAATTTAATAATACATGTAATACTACAACACCCAACTCTAACCTTTCATTATCATGAAAATTAACATACAAGTATTAATTACATGCATATTACATGTACGGCTTGGAATCATGTGATTGACGATTATTTATAACTAGTTTACTAAATATAGCTTTATTCATAATAACCTATTTTGTAAAGAAAACTTGTTATAAATAAATAGATACGACTATGACGTTTTCTCTTAACGTTAATGTGACTTTCGAATTTCTAGACACATGTACCTAATGTTCTAGAATTGTTACATGTATTAATGGTTATCAAAATATAACAACCCACCTTTTCTCGTTGTAATATCATTTTATCTATTCTGTATTTTGATCATTGTTCTTTTTATGCCATTGGGAGATGGAATATATCATTAACTTTTTCGAATTGCAAGTTCCGTTTCAACATTAATTTATAATCACCTATAATTGCTTATATTTTTCCAACCATGTTGGTAGATTAATCTTGTCAACGTTCCTGGGATTCAGCAATTACTTGAAGCGTTTCTTGTTTCCCATAATGAAGAAAAATACATGTTATGTTGTTTAAAGCCTTTTCTCTAGAACGCATCTGGGCACAAACTTTTTATGTTGATGCTCCGAAACATAATTTGAGCTGTTGTCAAACGATTACGAGAATCTCGCAAAACCTTGTTGACGCGATAGATAACTTTCCTTGGACTATACAGTATGTAGTCGTGTCTCCATGCCAATGATTAGAATGCAAAGTTTTAAAATTATCATATTACATTATACTGCATCTAAGACTACATCACCGCAAAAATCGATTTTGTAGTTTAACTCACCAGGAAGATATATCGACTTCATTCCATAAGTATTTAATAGGATTTAAGTTGGGACTGTAAACATTTGCATTATTCTCCGTCAATTTTTCGGAGTTCGCCCATTTGTCAACAGTCATGCAACCCCAAACCTTGATTGCGTTGCCAATCAATTTTGCAGTTGGACTAATATGATGGTCTTTTAATGGTTCACCAAGCCAGGCCATTTTTCTCTCATCTGATCCAAATAACCGGAATTTTGTCTGCCATAATCACCGACTGTCAAATCTCGGTATTTTTTTCGCTAAGAAGTTGCATTTTTTTGAGCGGCAGCTTTTAGCATTTAATTCTTCTTCAACAATAATGAAACATTTTCCGATGTTATTAGATAGATAATATTTCTTTCATTCGTAACGATCCGAAAGAACGCATGGACGAACGAGTTTTTAATTTGTCATTGAAACGCTCATCCTTTCTTTTTTTGCATATTCGATGGACGGAAGCTGTGCACACTTATTCTGATGCTGTGATTTTCCGGACCATTATTCTTCTTTCCAGAGAAAATTTATTCGAGGCATATTTGTTAGCGAAATTTGCAACAAAAAAGATTTATACTTTCAATTAAGAGAATATTAAGCATTAAATTCTTCCATTTGGTGAGTTATTTGGCCATCTTTATAAAATGCTAAAAACAATTTTAAGAAATAAAAATAATGAGACATTCATTCATTCTAATAATAATAATAATAATAATAATAATAATAATAATAATAATAATAATAATAATAATAATAATAATAATAATAATAATTATAATAATAATAATAAGGTGGCTAGTCACATCTTATATTTTAAATGTAATATGGATGATCTCTAATCTATCATCTATTTGTAAACTACATAATAGAATTAGCGTAGATGAGAAATAAGACTATACTGTAGCTTTATAATAATAATAATAATAATAATGTATTAGTTATTATCTTATAGCATACTTCTTGTTATTTCTGTCAAAATTTAAATATGTATTAGATGATAAATTATTAATAAAGTCTTTCAATTTATTAATAAAGTCTTAATAAATAATTTTATATAACTTTTAGTATTTATTACATATATTAATTTATTTAAGATCTTTTAAATTACAGTTCAATCTCTTTGTTATTTTGATATTTCATTGACTATAATTGATATGCTATTAATAGAATCTCTATAGTATATGATCGAATCATAAAAAACTTGATTCTTTATAAAATTTATAATTATACTCTTAAAAAATTTTAATATATATAGTGAGAGATAACATAAGATATCTAATACTACATCAAAATGCCAATCTTTTTATATATTAATTAAACTGACCAAACAGAAATAATTAAAAAATTTTTAAATATATAAATATTTTATTTTTATAAAATAAATATCAAATTTTCAATTATATATAAAATTATAAAATTTAAAGTGTTATAACTTTTTAAAATTATAATTAACAAAAAATCTATTTTAACAAAATTATAGCTTAAATAAAAAGCAACAAATTTATAAGAGAAATTTATTATAATTATTTGTTTTTAAGCTATAATACTTTTTATATTATATATAATATTAAATATCTTATGCTATCCCTTATATATATATATATATTAAATTTATTTTAAAAAATTAATTTTATAAAAAGATATATCTATATATATAAATATAAAAATAATTATAAGTTATTAAATAATTAATATAAATACTTTTTTTTATTAATAAAAATTTATAATAATAAATTATTTTAATCAATTACTTATTATATTTTTTATTAATATAATAACTATCAGAATTATAAAATTAAGTATTTGATTTTATTAATAAAGTATAATAAAAATTTGAAAATTTCTCTTTATAATAAAGTTATAATTTTATAATAAAATAATTTTTATTTTATACTAAAAATAAAGTATATAATTTATAGGTTGAATTATTATAAAAATATCTTTCTAATTAAAAATAATTTGCAATTATAAATAACTCTTTAAAAATCTGAAAAAATATATATTAAATTTTAAATTATAAATTTTATTTAATATAAAATAAAATTTATTTCATAATAAAATTATAAACTTTAATAAGATAAAATTTTATATTATAATAAAATCAATTTCTAATTTTATAATTCTGTTAATTATTATATATGCTTAATTTATTTTAAAGTTATTAATATATATTTTAATATATTTTTATTAATTTTTAATATTAACTTTTATATAATATTGTAAGTTATATAACTTAAATTTATAATTATAAATATTTTTTATTTGAGTTTTAAATATAAATTTTATATAAATATAAAAATTAATATATTAGACTTTGACTAAATTTAAATTTAATAATATATTTTATATATAATTTGCTTATTAATTATATAATAAGATATAAAGTATAAAGTTACTTAAGATATATTAATATAATATCTTATTAAAAATATCTTTAAATTATTTATGAGTTGAATGCAAAAAGATTTGTACCTCAGATAAATCTTAATAACTTATTTTTTCAAAATAAAATTTTAATTCTGTCTTATTTAATTAAGTTATTAAGTATTAGAATTTATTTAAATATAAAAAATTTTTACTAATAATAACTTTTTTTAATTATTATTTCTTAAATTTACTATATAAAATTTAATTAAATTTAATTAAATTTAATATAAATATTATATAGTATATAATAATTTTGATTGGATTATCTTCCTTTAGATTCTTTTTAGCTTAGATCTTTATTTTGCGCTATTTATATAACAAATTAGCTTTGTATTACATTTTTAAGAAGATCAATTTCATTCTGGATATACAGATGATCATTATGTATTTAATATATCTAGATTTAGCATATTGTTACTCAAATAATTACTATGTGTATCATAATTATTAATTTAGATTATTAATATTTTTAATTATATTTATTATTAATATTTCTTTATATTTT